AAAAACAAACAACGCTCCGGAAAGGCGGGGGATTGGACTGGATCCCCAACCTGTGCATAGATTAGGGCCCCAAAATCGGGGGCCCAATATATCAACGAGGAAGATACAATAGTCTACAGAGTCTCACTAATCAAAATGAAAAACAAAAGAAAAACCAAAAAAGAAAAGTCGAAAAACGAAAAAGAAACAAAAATTACAATACAAAGTCGATCTTCGGGCTAACAGATGCCCGGAATAAATGTCTATACTAATGAAAGCAAAAATCCTAACCTACTGAAAGCTGGTCCATCCGTACAAAAGTGTGAAGGCGGAGTGAAGCAGTGTCGGTCTGAAATGTATGTGTGTCTGGTATGGTGGCGCCAAGGCTGACCAGATAGTCGGCAGGTCTGTTCCCCTCACGAAAAATGTGCGTGATCCTGTGATGGACAGACCGGAGTAGGGCTCTAATACGCATAAGCGGGTGCTGAATCTGCCACGAGCCCTGTTGGCCCGAGGTCAAAATGGTGGCTACAGCCGCAGCGTCTAGCTCGATCCAAATGTGGCTAGAGAGGTGGACAGCAATCTGAAGGCCGATCTGTAATGCCTGAATCTCTGCATCATAGCTCGAGAAGGCCTGAAGGGACGCGTGGAAGGCGGTGATGAGGAAGCCGCTATGGTCCCGGATCAAGCCTCCTCCTCCGGCAATTCCAGTGTGGCGGTCAAAGGAGCCATCAATGTTCAGCTTGACCCACAGAGAGTAAGGTCGAAGCCAGACAACAGCTCTGGGCCGAGGGTGCCGAACAGGCGGTGGTGGGGCCACCATGTAGCGATGTGGTGGCGTGCAGTCTGTCCAGTATCGGGCCGTGAGCCTGGCCAATGCGATGAGGAGTGAAATGTGTCTCTCAACCTGCAAAACAATGTGAGAAACAAAAAAGTAATATCCCTATGCTTCGCACTATTCCTTTCTATCCAGGTGAACCAAAGGATCAGACAAGGAATGAGGAAACCCACGTGTCTAAAGTGTGTGCTCTGTGAGAAAAAACTCAGGAGCTCAAAAAAACTGAATGTGTTGGGTAGGGATATATGTATCCAAGTGGCAAAATGCTCCCACACTCTCCTCACAGTCTCACTTTCTAGAAAAAGGTGGGTAAAGGTCTCGGTCTCATGGCGTCCAGTCTCAGAACAACACACACACCGAGAGGGGAAGGATATCCCTCTCGCGTGTAGCACAGTATCGACGGGTATTCGGCGCAAGAGGAGACGCCAAATGAACACCGAAATAGTAGGGGCGAAAAGGTCACTCCAGATGGCCCCGAAGAGGAGATAAGGCCGATCCCTCAGCCTGATCTGCTCCCAAGACGAGGTAGTAGAACACCTGATGATGTAAGTCTCCACCTCATGCTATCTGAACCGTCCCCCGAGATAGGGATCTGCTGGATCTGATCTAATAAATGCCCGCTAAAACCCGCACCAGACTCCAACTCCCTATCAAGCTTCCCCCTATCCCACGACCTGTCCGACCAGAGGTCGCTCACAAGCAGGTAGGGGGAATGCGACACCTGCATATCCTTAGATAACGGCCTATCACCTAGATAACTGCTAGGTTAGTTGTCTTTTATTGCTAGGTTATTTCTTTCTTGCTGCTAGGTTAGTTGTCTTTTATTGTTAGGTTTTATCTCATGGAAGCAAGACAAGCAATGCAACCACTACACCACTCAAGGTTGAATGTCTTTTGTTGCTAGGTTAATTATTTCTTGCTGCTAGGTTATTTGTCAACGGGTCAACGCCGGAGTCAACTAATAATTATTTTATTATTTAATTAATGTATATTTTAATTGATTTTGATCTAGACAAAATGAGTGGCTAAGATTGAGTCTCGCGTACTCATTTTAAGGAGTGGTCTCATTGGATCTATCTCATATATATATATATATATATATATATATATATATATATATATATATATATATATATATATATATATATATATATATATATATATATATATATATATATATATATATATATATATATATATATATATATATATATATATATATATATATATATATATATATATATATATATATATATATATATATATATATATATATATATATATATATATATATATATATATATATATATATATATATATATATATATATATATATATATATATATATATATATATATATATATATATATATATATATATATATATATATATATATATATATATATATATATATATATATATATATGATAAGGGCGTGCTATGACGTGAAGAAATAAATACAATTTTACATATTCATGTTAAATAAATATTTTTTGTTACATCAGACCAATATATACATATATTTCATAAAATGTATACCTCTTTTATATTATTTGGCTAATAAACTCTTATTAACATGTATATTTTCAACGCATGTTCATTTATACATAATGAATTCGACCGACTACGAGTTAGACTTTAATAGCTCATCATCAAGTGAAGATGCATTTTTGCTATCCAAGCAGTTAATAGACAAGTGATTAGGAGATGCTACGCTTTTTGAGGAATTAAATTGCGAGGTTGTTCAAACTTGTTTGTTTCACATTCCTATTCATGAGGTAATTTCTTTAGTGTTAACAAGCACCTCAAACCCTCATGGCGGAACATGTACTAGAGACTACATTCATCGAGATAGGAAAGGACATTATGAATTAATTCTTAATGAATATTTCAAAGGTGAATTCTCAAAGTACACTCTTGAACATTTTCGTTGTCGATTTCATATGATATCGAGTTATTCCAATGCATTATACAAGCAATTGAAAATTACGACGACTATTTTACACAAAAGGTCGATGCAGTGGGGGGAAGAAAGGACCAAGTCCTCTACAAAAAATGATCGCGACAATACGCATAGTTGGAGTACGGGTGTGCAACTAATCTCCTTGATGAATATGTGAAAATTGAAGAAAGCAACACAATTGAGAGCTTAAAATATTCTTGTGATGCTATCCTTGCATTTTTTGAAAAACAACATCAGATACAACCAAAAAAGTATGACATTGCTAACTTACTGAAAAAAGGCTAAGGCTCGGGGATTTCCAAGTATACTTGGCAGTTTAGATTATATGCAATGACATTGGAAAAATTGTCCTACCGCGTGACACGACACTCATACAAATGGTTTAAGTACAATTATCAAAAGCAGATAAAACAACATAAAGAAAAAAAATCTGAGTCCAATTCCGACTCCTTCCACGGCATGAATTATTCGGACCAACTTACATCCACTAAATATGTGAATATTATAAGATTAGAATTGGTTCATCAAATTACCTTATATCCGTTATTATACAGAATTCCAAGGTTAAGTTTAAGTAGAATGAATTTTGTGATCATAATAATAGTGTCCAGTACAAAGATTTATACTAAGCAATTAAACAACCACAGAGCCACTACTACCTAGTATCTATCAATTTTCAAATCCAGAAGTCTAGATGAGGTAGAATCCAGAACATGAAGCTCATATTTGCATGTTAACAAGGTGAAAATTAGCTCCAAAACGACAAATAGTCCTGCTGAATAAAAAAAAAAAGCTGGATAGACATCTATGCGCAGTCTGTGTATAATGAGCATAAATATTACTACGAAATAGATAATTAGGAAATTCTTTGACCTACATAAACACAAGACAATTGGCTGCAATTTTGTTGAAGGCAGCAAAGATAGACAGCTAGGTTAAGGGGTCCAAAACAGCATACGATCCGACAATCAGAGCGTAGCAATATATAATCACATAAATTTCAAAAATTACAAGTACGTACAGAAACACATACTGACCGAAGATTGGATACCGAAATTGAAATTCAAAATTTTCTTCATGTTCCTAAGGAATAGGGCAGTGAAACAGAACAAGTTCTATAGTTTTTCGGTAGACCGAAGATTGGGTATGGAGCTCGCCAAAAAAAAATTGAATAGACAAAGTTGTTTGTGTTTAATGAGTATAACTTTTGATTAAGAAATAGATATTTGGGAACTCTTTCACCTATATAAATACAAGCGTTGTATCGACAAGTCTTGTGAAGACAAGAAAGGCATCCGACTATGTTAAGAGGATAAAAAATGAATATAATGAGACAAGAAAGGCATCCGACTAGGCAAAGAAGAAAATCTTACCTGTCCCTCAAAGAAGTTTAGAAAATTTCATCAGTTACTTGTATCCAATCTGAATTCACCGTTCTCAAATGAAACTCGGATCTGCACAAAATTTGTTTCTCCCTTCAATTTTGTTTCTATCAACAAGTGAGTGTATGCTCACGAATCACAAATGAAGCTGCCAGTGCCACTCGCCCACTAATTATGCTGGCCACATTAAGTCATCACTTCAACTCTCAGTTTTCCACACAAACAACAAATATAGTTTTTACCTTTCATATTCAAGNATATATATAATAAGAATTATCATTTAGCAAAAATAGTAGCAAAAAAATAGGACACAATTTAATGCAACCCATAAATAGTTATTATTATTATTATTATTATTATTATTTTATCTTTAAAAACCATACATCATTAAATTTTGCTTTAAATTTTGGGATTTAGTTTATTTTATTATTTAAAAATTCCGTCCAAGATCTATTAAGTGTGCATGTTTTCATTTTTATTTTTTTTAGAAACAACGAACAACATTAAAATCACAGTCTCTATATTTAAAAAATCTCAATTTAAAAGGTAACAAAAGTTTTAGAATATCGGTCTTTATATTTGCGCTTTCAAAAAAAATATTGAACGCTTTAAATATCATTTTCCACATATCATCACAATTTCTTTATTTGGAACGTGTGATAATAAACTTGGTAATGTTTATCAATTATCGTTTACCAATATTGTTTTTTCTAAACTCGATTTCAAAAGGTAAAATAATTTTCAAATTCTCAGTCTCAATAGTTGTGCATTTCAAAAAATAAATATTTAATGATAATATATTATTGGTTAATAGTACACGATTTTGAAAACTCCATTATAAATTGTATGTTAATATCCAAATCATTTTATAAATGCAATCGGTTTTGTTAAATCTCCATGAAAATATGGTAAAACAGAGTGAGACGATCAACTTTGTATGGAAATAAAATAAAATCAAATAAAGCAATATGAAGTTCACAGGAAATGAACATAATTAGTAATTTGAATAATACACGGATCTCAAATTAATACTCACGTGGATTATAAAATTCAAACGTATACTTATCATCATCTTTTTGAAATTGAATAATATATTGTAGGCAAGATTTTTTTAAATAATTTTAGACATGTTTACTTTACAAAATAGTTTAGAAAAATTTTAGGTGATTTCACATCTTTCAATAATGATATATAGAATTTTAGATACTTTACATACGTTATATAGTATTTTAGGTGTTTTTAATATTTTATACTTACATTTTTTTATGATATTTTATAAAAGATAATTTTATATTGTTTACAACTGATATACGATAAATTATGTCACATATTAACTCCACATATTAATTCATAATTATTAGTTAATATTATTTACTCTCATATTTAATTTACAATTATTAGTTAATATTGTTTATCCTCATTTTTAATTATAATTATTATTTAATATTATATACTCGTGAATCGCACGGGCTACGCACTAGTTAATTCTTATTGGTCTTATTCAAGCATTGCTGAGTTAAAAGTACACTACAAAATTGTGGTTTTGCATACCTGGAACAAAGAAGTTTAACATCTTCACATGTATGGATCTAAACCGATGAAATGCACTATAGTAATAATAAATCCAAAATCAGAATTATGAAGAAACAGGGAAATATATATATATATATATATATATATATATATATATATATATAATAAGAATTAACATTTACCAAAAATAGTAGAAAAAAATAGGTTAGAATTTAATGCAGCCTATAAATAGTAAGTTTTATTATTTTTTTTATTTTTTCTTTAAAAATTATACATTATTAAATGTTACCTTAAATTTCGGGTTTTAATTTATTTTATTATTTAAAAAATACGGCTAAAATTTATTAAGTGTGTATGTTTTTATTTTTATTTTTTCTTAGAAACAACGAATAACATTAAAATCTCGGTCTCTATATTTATAAAGTCTCAATTCAAAATATAACAAAAGTTTTAGAATCTCGGTCTTTATATTTGTGCCTTTAAAAATATAGAACGCTATAAATATTCTTCAAATTTCATAATCAATCAACTAATCTTAATTTTTTTTGAAAATTACAATGTTTATTTTTTATTAATATGCATAAAGTAAAAATAATTAATTCATCTTTAAATATATAATTTATAGTCTTAATATACTATCATTTGGTGTAGACATTTATTATATGAATCATAAAATATTTTTATTTCATAAAATTAAATATATTTAAAGAAAATAAGAAAATTTCTTCGGATCAATCGGGGTGATTGAATTAGAGTACTGTCTAGGTTGATTGAATTAGTTTTAGGTGATATTTAAAATAGTCAAAAAACTTGACACAACTTGGTTGGTCCCAGGTGACTAAGTTATGTATCAGTTCGACCACACCAAGTTGATTATTGAACCTAAATATAAATTTTATATTGACAATATTTTATTACGTGAAGGTGATGTAATCCAAACTTCAAATATTCGTATTAACAATACTTTTATGACAACATGTTTAATGATTTATGAATATTTATATATCATTTTATCAAATATTTATGTGAATTAAATAATATTTTATTATAATATTCATTAATGTACAGTAAATATAAAGTTTGCAGAACTAGACCGTCATCGAAACGATCAAATTATTTTATTAAATCATTTGTGGTTTGTTCAGATTTTAATTTAGAAACATTTTAATATATATATATATATAGTACTTTTTGTAATAAATTTAAATAAACTGTGTTACTTAGATATCTAAACAATTTATAAATTCAAATGTTTAAACTAATTGATAAATAATTTATAAATCTTTTTATTCAAAACAATTTTAAATATAACAAAATTTATTTAGAAAATCGTATCGATCCTACCAGTCCAACCGGCTGGTGTTGACGGATTCAAGAGCAAATATTTTATTCAAGCGAATTAACTGGTTATAAACCGGTTCTCGGTCCATCCGGGCGGACTGTGTCCAACCCGATTTAATTTAAAAATAATGAATAAATCATGATTAATGTTATTTATATATATAATTTATAATACAATACGGGCCACGCACTAGTAAGTAAGGAAAGACATAATAAATAGTTGGTTCAGGAGAATGAAAGTTGAGGCCAAGTAGCCTTCATATCTTGCTAAGGTCAGAATCTCTAGTCCAAAGGACAGCACATCATCAATGTGTAGAGTTTGATATACATAGAACTTGATGATACATACAATAAAGTTCCAATATTTGGCCTAATTACGAGTCTTAATCTTAACCTATCACAATTCTATTTCAATTTCTGCCTAATTACGAGTCTTAATCTTAACATATCACAATTCTATTTCAATTTCTGCACTTCACACTCCAACTTCGAGATACACAGTTTAGTTTACGGGTAGGAACACAGATTGTAATACAATATTTTCCAAGAAATATATGAATTTTATGATCCAGTTTAGTTGTGGATTTATATATATGTACATATATACTTTACAACTTGATAGAATAACAGTGGTCGAATCAGGATTCTTTTAGTTTTAGCATATTACTATGCTATTCCAAAAAAGATAAGAATATTATGATACAGTTTAGGTCTAAATCCAAACTAGACATAATACATTTCGATTTATCATTACAAAACACAAACAAAAAAGAATCGAATAAAGGACCAATATAAAATTACAATACTTACCAATCTTGAGGAACCCGCCTCGACGGGGAAAACAATCGGCCAGGAAGTGAACTGAGATATATTACGAGAAGGAAGACGGAACCACAGATATGTTGTAGGTTTTCGAATAGTTCTTAGAGGAGAATTGAGTCGGCAATGGGTTAAGTTTAAATAATTTGGGTTCAGCTATTCTATGGCCCAACAAAAGAAGTCTAGAAAGGCCCATATAGGGTAATTTAATTGAGTCACAACCCTAAAATATTATTATACTTGTATTTTGTATAAATTATTATACTTGTATTTTATTTTGTGCATATATATATGGCGTACATAAACATTAACTACTACATATCCTATGCGATCACGAGAAAATAACCATAAATCGTATAAATACATTAACTAATTAGTAGTCCGTGCGATCATGGGAAAATAATGATAAATCATATAAATCAAAATAGAGAAGGATCAACATTTTACTATTTTATTATTATTATTATGCTAAATACATTTTATTATTACTTTATTAGATTATTTTATGCTAAATATATTTTACTATTGTTATATATGTATATATTTTATTGTATGAACAACTTTAGACTAGTAATTTATTTTTAAATCAGTATAAATAATAATTGAGTTCATTTTTCATATACAATATTACCTTATAAACTTATTAATACTTTAGAATAATTATATATTATTTGTACCTACATATGTGTATCAAATTGAAGATCATAAAGTTAAGGTTATTATACCGTTATATATAAAATTAAATAACAAATAAAAAATGTTATTGAGCTTTCAACAAGAAAATGATATTAATATTTAATAAAAAAAAATAAGACAACAATATGGATATTAAATAAGAAAAAAAAAAAGAACCATAGTTAGAAAACTTCCTCATCTATCATTTCAAAAAATATTTTAAATTTTATATTATTTTATAATTTATAAATAATTATTTTTGGATGGATCAATCTATAATCATATCCACAATTTATATTTATCTAAGCAAATAAAAAAATAGATTAAGTAGAATTGAATAATTGATTGTAAATTTTTAGAATGTTTAATATCAAATTATTGATACCACATCACTAAAACATTTCAACGCATCTTCATTCCTCTATCGCCAAATATTCATACTTCAGAAATATTTCAAAAAACTTATACACCGTCAAAAAATCATAGAAAATACATCATATGTGGCAATTACTACAAATTCCTATCTACGCAGAACTATGCTGAAAGTAAAATACTTGTTTTTATGAGTAACAACATTATCATTGATATAAATATTAAATCCACAATTTAGAATGAAATTAAATTCTTTCTAAATAAAGGAAGAAAAAGGCAATTTCTCAAAACCAAACTCCTATCTTTATCAAATAAAGAAAAAATATTCCACTTCAATGACCTCCGCCTTAGTGGCGTTGCCAATGTATACTGAATCTCTCTCTCCCTAAGTTATTTTGTTTCCTGAAACAGCTGCAATGAATTACAGGCATAATTAGTAGCTCTCGTATTTACACACCAGGTACTGGTAGATAGCACTGTTATACATATATCTACGATTAGAGTAAAAGAATTACCCCCATTGCCCTATTTGAGTAGAGGGTAGTTGGCCTTTTATTGTGTTCGTTGCTTGTACCGATGACACTTGTCTTTCGGCTTTTTTGCCACTCCTGAGAGTTCGGTTTCAGAGCGGGAACATGAACCAACGCTTTTGCCGTTTTAGCATACTTCTTCTTCTTACCCTTCTTGGTCCAAGAAGAAGAAAACCCAGCCTACTCGACAACAAGAACCTTAGCATTCTGATAGAACAACCCTTTTGCCGACTGGAGTTGTGTATAGCTCTGCAAGATATAACGACATCTTATTCAAGTTGCAGTTCAAGTGGAATAGCTCAAAACTCCTCAATATAGACTGGGGCACGATATCAAACTGGTGTTTAAACGACCTCGACCAAACGCAAATGACCTGGATCCGCTCTTGACCAGTTCAAAGATCTACAAAACTTCGGGAGTGGTCTCGACATATAGACTCCGACAATCAAGTCAATATGTGTATAAGGAAGACGATGAATAGTAAGAATTGTATAACTTGTAAGCATATAAGAGTGTGCGGAGTGTGAATGATCGCACCTCTCCCCTTTATTTAGTAGCACTACCTTGTTGCCTAAGACTACCCGGCTAAGCTGCCCGATTATCCGAGCTACCCGTTCATACTGGTCGGGGTGCCCAAATTGCTCGATTTTGTCAGGCCACTTGGTCCTATCTACGTGTGGTTATTATTTTAATAATATTCTTTCTTATCTCTTATGTAGTGATTTCACATTAGTCTACCTCATTAGACAACATAATTGTGCGGCCACCTCGGCTTCCTACGAACTAGATTGCTATGATATCTCACATATGGACTTTGTCTCTTAGGTTGCACCATCGACCTGTCTGCCTCCAGGCGTTTCTATTAGGCTAGACGAGAGCTCTAACTCGACCTGGTGATGAATTCTCTTACATGTGAAGTCATCACCGACATGGTGACTCTTCGACATCCGGTGTCTTCGATCTCAAGCCGACTTGTCGATTCACCCGATTCAGTCAGACCGCTCTTTAAGTTGTGCACGACCTGATATGGTATCCCATAATTTGGTTTCCCCTAGCATAACTCGATCTAAAAGTACCATCAGTTGTCTTTGGTCGTGTTCCTTGAGCTCGCTAAACGTCTACCGACCTTCCACCTTACTTCTTTCTCTTCAGAATAGCCCTTTCGACCAAGATATGACTTGACAGATATGACTTTTCCGAGTATTCCAGTGTTTGATTGTGTGTTTTTGTTACATAGGACTATTTTTTTTTTTTTTTTTCTATTTGTTTTTTTTTTTCTATTTGTTGTCGTTGTTTGTTTTCCTTTGCGGGTAGGCGCATTTATACACAAAAAGGTAAAACTATAATAAAAGTGACGTGCCAGCTAGGAGCTTAGGGTGGCGCTGCGTGTATCCATGCAAAACTCGACTTTTGTGGATGGGCTTAGACGGTGGCTTCATCAACTTTATCAATTCTGTATTCATATGCAGGAGAGATCGCCATTCTTCCTGGGAAAGATTCAAGGTAACATCGATAAACATAATTGTCTGCCTATTGGGGAGATCGACAGATCTTGCTGGTGCTGCTTCTTGGGCTACGTGCGCTCAGATTGGTAGGCCTAATGATCATCTGACCTGATCTTGATGGGACAATCCGAAAAATTTTAGGTACAATAATATACATTATTATAAATCATTAAAGAATTAAATAATTTTGACGTAATTAAAACGTAGTAAATTTTATAAATGTAAAATAATATATACTACATTCTTTTTAAATTATGTGTGAGTTTATAATAATTGTGACAACTTTTTAACTTTATCATCAATTATGTAGTAACCAAAATAATATATATGAGTAAGGAAAGAGTGAAATAAGTAACCCCTTTATATTAATAAAAAACATGTTAAGTCTAAGTGGTAGGCTCGCGTGCTTTAGAATCCTATGTGGCAAAATTACATATTTCATTATTTGGCTTGGGTAGATTTTAATTTACTTCCAATCCAAAAATAATTAAATTAAGATTATTCATAAATATGTTGATTATTTATGGTCATGTTACATGTATTAGTTGGATTTTAATATAATTTCTTATTATACCATTGAATTGTAAAAGTATTTTAAAAGTTAATAATTTTTTATTATTTATCAGTTCTACATATATAATATATCAAATTAATCATCTCTTGATGAACTTCGATTTAACGTTCGTATTGTATGTATAAAAAAATAAATTATATTTATTTTTTCACAATAATAAAATTATTTTTTAATATTAATTAGAAAAATAAAATTATTTATCAACCAATATATTTATGTTTCAAGTAGTTATATGATACAAGTTAAAAAGATTACTATATATAACACATGTAAGTTACACAAGTAACAAGTGTCATTCTAAAATACACAATAATATATATTTTTTGTAAAAAAGTAATTAAATTTTTAAAATAATTTTTTTCATTAATTATAAAATTTAAGAATAATTTTTTTTAGCAAGCACCGTGTAATACGCGAGTGTTGTACTAGTATATGTAGTATTTATAAACAACTATTTTATAACGGGTCAAATTGACTTCTAAATCATCTATTGAACTGATATATAGTAAAATAAAATAAAAATATATTAATAATAATACAAAATTATTTTAGTTATTTTCAACTTTTTTAAGTCCATATCGAATTAGCTACCCCGAAACAATAATTTTAAATGAAGAGTAATCAAGTGGACCCGCTTTGGCACCGTCCCTCTGTCTCATTTATACAGCTGATGAAGATTCAATAGTCCCTTCACATTCCCAAAATCACTCTCTCTCTAGTCGGGTAATGTAATCCAGCGCCGCCAGTCCACCACCGCACCATGGGCCGGAGCATCCAAAATCACCACCGCCAACCTTCTCCCACCCACTCCCTCTCCTCCTCATCCTCCTCCGACTTCGAGTTCACCGTCTCCATCTCCCCCCGCAAGTCCTCCGCCGCCCTCTGCCCCGCCGACGAGCTCTTCNATGCTCCGCTCCCTTCTCCTCTCCTCCTCCTCCTCCTCCGACGACTCCGCCGCCACCTCCTCCCGCGACTCCCTCTCCTCCTCCGATTCCTCCTCCGCCTCCGCCTCCGCCGCCGATCTGCTATCAGACTCCTCCCGCCCCAGCGTCGACGAGCTCCGGTCCCCCGCGCCGGCCGGCGGCGCACTCTCGCTCAATCTCCACCAGAGGAAGCCGTCGAAGCACTTCTCTCTCCCCAAATTCGCCTCCGTTTTCCGCAGGGAGACCACCAAAACCACGCCTCCGCCGCCCGCGGCTAAGCGCGCGAGCGCCGGCGCGAAGGACGTCATCCACAGGTACTTGAAGAAGGTGAAGCCTCTGCTCGAGAGGCTCTCCGGCAAACAGCAGCAGCCGCAGCAGCCAAAAATGTCTCCTGGTCCGGTGAACGGCGCCGTTTGCCTGAAGAAGGATTCAGATCCGGAATTGACGGCCGCGGTCGGCCCGAATCATCCGATTGGGAAAAACTTGGATATCGGATTTTGTTCTGAGTCATTTTCCAGCAGTACGAGATTCGCCGGAAGAAGAAGATGCATTTCGAGCTGCCCGTCGTCGATAATGTCTTCTCCGAGGCGTGGGGATAGCGGGTTCGGGTTCGGGTATATGGATCGGGCCGGGTCGGGCTTGAATGCTTCGTCGATGGAGGAGCTGCAGAGTGCGATTCAAGGCGCAATTGCGCATTGCAAAAACTCAATGTTGAATACTGATGATAATAATAAGACAACTGTGATCAGTCATGAGATTTGAGAGNGAAAAAAAAAAAAACTGAAGTGAAATTTGAGTTTCATGTTAATTTCTATATTTTGGTGTAAAATAATTAATAATTCGGCGTATTTATTCAACTGATCTGATTAAATTCAATGGTTGATTAATCAAACTTTTATTTTCTTACTCGGATGGCTCGATCGGTGGCTAATTCGGGTTTCGTAAGATGTGCTGATGAATTTCATATTCAATACTCGTATTCAATCTATATATATATATATATATATAATTGTTAGCCTTTCATTTAATTTTACTTCATAAATAAAACTTAATAAATTTTATCTAATAAATAATACAAACTTTTCAAATACAAAAACCGTTACTTTACAAAATACTTCAATTTTGGACAGTTACAAAATAAACTAACTAGCGCGTAGCCCGTGCGATGCACCGGATGGTATATTTTCCTGAAATGTTTAACGTGTGAAATATTAAAAATAATATAATTTATATATATGTAACAAAAATAAATGGATTGCAAAGAAAGACAAAAAAATATAAATTATTGAACACTTTCTTTGTGAAGTAAAATTTGTGAAGTTTTGATATATTGATTATGAATAGAAAAGTATGAAATACTACCTGCTGACCGTTGAGATAGATGAGAAGATTTACTTAGAATATATAGAATAAATATTGAGATAATGATTTACCTTTTACCTAGTATATATAAAATAAATATTGACATGATGTGGGAAAATTATGAGGAATTATGACATAAATTCGTTTAGAAGTTAGTAGAAAATATTCAAAAATTAGATTTATTTTTTATTTTTTAAATTCTTACAGTAATTCATACGCTCCTTTTCATACGCTTAATTTATCAATTTTACACATACAAATCAAAATTAATGCAACTCGAAATATTATATAACAAATAAAATGAGATTTTTTATCTAACATTTAGTATATTGCCGGAAAATCTTTTATAAATCTTATTCTCTTTTTATGCACATAGATATTAAAGAATGAGTAAAAAAATTATCTAAATATGTTTAAAAGTATCTAATATTATATGTGTTAACAATGTTACAACCAAAAGACATTAAGAATACGTAGACTATTATATAACATATGTGAAAGTATTAAAATATTTTATATTATTATTGAAAAATGTGAAATTACCTCAATTTTGTCTAGACTATTTTATAAGAAAAATATATATACTTAAAGTTAGCATACACACACATGTTTAAAAGTATATATATATATATATATCCTTAAAATTTGCCCAACTAACATGTTTAAAAGTATATACAATTTTATATATAAAAACACGTTTAAAGTTTACATATTTTACAAAAATTAGACTGCAAAATATATAAAATTGAAATAACAAAGGTAAATATTACCTGTTCATCATGAAAATGCGTTACAGCTCTCCCGTGGGTTTCAACAATGCGGACTGCTCTCAGACGTTTCTTTCTTTTGTTAACGAAATCAAGTGTACCCAGCCTGGAAGCATTTAACGGAATCAAGTGTACCCCAGCCTGGAAGCATTATATTGTCGATGTGAAGAAATGGTCTCTGTATTTTTTCTTTTCTATGATGAGTTAATGGTGGAAGTGAATATTTTTTATACAATTTTTTTTTTCTGCACGTTCCAATTGACCGAAAAAAAATGGAAGATATTGTTTTTATTCACCAAAAGTGATTGAAGATAATTATGGATTGTATTTGGATAGATATTAAATTCCATGATTTTTGGGATGCAACAACAAAATATGCAATCATATGTACATATCTTATCACGTTAAGGATATATCCATTGCTAAAAAAAGGGGAATATCTAATGCCTTAATTAGCGGAATTATCAATTTCGTATTCCATTATCACAATTGTTTGTTAAAATTTGAATGAGATTACATAAATAGAAAATCAAAAGTCAACTCAATTTATTTTAGGTTTCTAAAAATGATTTTTACATCAACCTTTTTAGATATATATAGATATAGATGATCACTATTTTATCTAAGTATATCAATTTAGGTTAATTAACTAAAAATATTTATTTTTTTAATTTCTTATATAATTATTACTATGCTAACTTAATTATGAATTATTTATTATAGAAACTCATGATTACATAAACATGTATTCAGAATATAAATTTTTAAAAAAACTTTTTATAAATGTTTATTTGGAATATTTAGTATTTTTGATGATATCACTACAATAATTAATCATGGTAAAAATGAAAAATACAGCACATGTACAACATGGACAAATATACTAACAACAATACAAAATAATTTCACCAGCTCTGGAAATTGTATCATATAATAGTTATTATTACAATTAATAATTATATTTTAATACTAAATGATATGTGAAAGTTACATAAACATAAGAAACTATATGTAAAAACTTTTTGTTCGAGTAATTTATTACAAAATCAATATAATATTTCTTTATCTGCTTAAGCGATTACTTTTTAAATAAATTAATTTTTTTTAATGGCATAGTAAAGTTCTTTAAAATCGCATAAGCAATTGTTATAGTAAATTTAATATTTTTTAGCTAATTAATTAGTCATAGTCCCTTAAAATTTCAAAAAATACATTATTTATTTTATTTTATGCCATAAATATAGTGATTCATATACAATAAAATCGTTATGTACTATTTATTTTGATCATTTATCAAATTTTAAAATATAATACATTTACCTAACTTATAATTTTAATATTATATGCATAAATATAACTTATAATACCTTATGTTTAAAATATAATATCATTATCTAACTTATAATTTTAATATTATATGTATACAAATAACTTATAATACTTTATTTACATCTGTGCAAATGCACAGGATGAGGATCATATACTAGTACTTTTAAATTCAGTGGTTTTGTGAATGTTGAATTTGGGCACTAGCAATTGGAGTTAAAATAAATAAAAGAAGTCAATTTTGAAATTTTAAATGTTAGATCCCTTTGAAACTGAAATAGTCTTATATGTTGGCCCTGGAATATGTTTTTTTGGTCTTAAACATCCATTGTTTTCTTTTATTTGTCACGGCCGGCATTTTCGATTTTGGCGTTGATTTATTTGTCCAATGGACATTTGATAAAAAAACCACCGGATTTGTTGGAAATTATTAGTACAATGAGCGGTACGGGTGTTTGATAAAAAATAATTAAGTGCATAACAAAAATTAAAAAACAAACAAATTTAATGTTTTTATCGTTATACAAATATGTAGATATAATTAATAAGAAAGTAAAAGAATTTTTAATATTATTTTGATTTCTAGAAAATATTTTGTACGAAATATATTATTTTGTTAATATGTATTTAGTTTTGTCAAGATTAAATAGAATAATTACTATATTCTATAGTTAATATAACGCCTTGAACAACACTGATGAATGAATAAAATAATTGTATAAAAAGAAAGAAGTACAAAAAAAAAAT